TCAAGTTGGATGTGTGATTTCGTTATACTAATTGAGGAGAGTGTTGATTAAAATATTTTATTATTAATTAATTTAGATAATATAATTAAAATTTTATTAAAATAGTAATTTAATATAATTAAAATTTTAGTAGAATAGTAATTTCTTTATGTATAGGTTAAGAATTATATAAATATCTCAGGTGTAACAATATAAGAGTGTGAAGAAATAAAGTTTATATTCTTTTCTTCAAAATCAACTGTTACTTATGTAAGAAAAGGGTGTGATGTGGAGGAAAATCATTGCTGCCTATTATGGTCCTTTTTTAGGATTTAGTCATGAAATTTTGTTAATATTATGGGTTCGTTAAAAGAGAACCCGACAATCTTCTAGAGTTAAAGTACTCAAGAAACTTTGTCGACAAATTTTTCTGCATATCCATTTCAGAGACATCAAGTAGTTTTTATACGAGCGGAATGAGGGGCAGTTATTCTGGTGGTTATTTCCAGAGCAATTACTGCTGCATATTCTTCCTATTTTTCTCCTGCTATCCTACCACACTATTACATAAATACCCATTTAAATATCCTACTTAGTACATAAAACATGAGGAGCAGTTAATCTGCACCAGTTTTTCTAGAATTTTATCCTAATTTCCAGATTTAAGTAACTATCTCCTTCTCATCATCTTCTATCATATCCTTCAACCAAATTATGCACATACTTAAATACATAAAGTACATAACCATTATACATAACACAATATCTTAATATATTATCAGACGCAATGTAATATTTTAATATTAATCAAATTTTTATTCCTTTTTTGAGCATCTTCTTGCTGTATAGACCTTACATCTCTCCTCCCTTCCAAATTGCACTTTTTCTCCAAAGCAAAGCAACAAACAATCATGCAGGTCTATCAGTTTGTGAATTTCGTGTGAGGAAGAATCAGCAAGATCCAACGAGAAGAGACCGAATGTATCATTACTTCATTTTGAATTTACCAATGGAACCATTGGCTGCTTCCAATCGCTTCTGTTTCTGACAGTATTGAAATTCTGGAATTTTCTTCATAGTCTTCCAATTCATATTGCCAAAATTCGAACTTTGCTTCTCCTTCCAAATAGAAAGAGGCCAAGGAGACTTTTTCTTTTTTCACAGTCAATTGGTAACAAAAAATGTCATCACATTTTCCAGCCATGGCAAAGGATCATTGCACCTATCGAACTGGGAAAAATCAAATGTTGTCTGACATGGCAGAGTTGGTCACTCCCTGTGCTGCTCTGCACGCAAGATGCAGCCTGGTTCTGGATGCACAAAGGTGTCTGGTCAGTGTCGCGCAATGTGCACAGGGAAGTCTGTATATCCTTGCACAGATTGCCTGTTGGAAATGAGCACAGATAATGTGGTGGAGAATCAGATGATTGCGGAAGGCACAACTGTTGATAATAAAAAATGGTACTTGTTTGAGATAATTTGTTGAACTCCTTTATAACATCTTTTCACGATGGTTCCCCGAATCTATGACAGAATTCTTCCACAAAATACTCTCAATACATGACATCAAATTTGGCTAGCCACCCACAATACCATACACCGGCAACTTTTTTCCAAATATAGAAATGCAATCTCCATCTTTTGCTCGTTACAACTGTTGCGGATCATAAACTATTTTTCACATCTTTTAATCCATCCGTTAAGGTTTAGGCCTTCAAAAAGGAATTGCTACCTTAAAAAGTGAGAAAGGTTGGGCTGAACCGATTCAGGGAAGCATGACGACCCAGGCCAGTTGGGGTCGAGGGAGTCCATTGGCCGTTTCGGATTGAAGCGGTTTGGTTCAAACCGGTTCAGTTCTGGGCAGTTCGGCCCAAACCGGGTCAGGTCGTTCTGGTCCAAAACCGGGTCGGGTCTGGCTAGGGAACAAAGCTGGCTCTAGTATCTTGAAGAATCAAATAAATCGAATTTAGTTATGAATAAATTATCTCTGTTATTTTTCTCAGTATCCAATAAATATTCTTTGACATCATCATTTTAGACTGGAGTGTTGAACATTGTCATCGTGATGTGTGTGAATTTGC